TCGTCTCCACAGCAACACTCCGCTGTCCGCTCCTCTGGTGTCGGAGCACTTGGAGCAGAGTCTCGGAAGACTCCGCTCGCGGCTCGCGGGTCGCGGCTTATTCGGTTCTCGCGCGAGAGAAGCCCTCGCTCCCGCCCGCGAGCGTCGCTGGTCGCCTAGAGTGGTGTTCACGTTTAGGCGAGGCAGTTTTGTAGCGGATCCGGATGTGCCATGATGTGGCGCTCACCGCTGTACTCTGGCGTGGGGCGCTGTCTCTCTCTCCCGCCCGGCGCCGCGCGCCCGCGCCCCCAACACCTGACTGCGCGCGCGACACGAAAACGCAAAATGAAAGGAACGAGAACTCAACATTACAAGTACGTGTAGCCTTCACGCTGGCGACGGACCTCTATAAACTTGGGCTCGGGCCGAGGCACGTAGCGTTCACGCAGCAATGACCCTGGCTGCGGCGCAAGGTCGCCACCGGCACCGCCGCAGCCGCAAACCCTTTCAAGACATGCTTCACAGACGGGCGCTACGCGTTTGGCGCACGGAAGCGCAAATGACACGCAGCAGCCGCCGCAAGCGCCTGCGCAGAGCCCAGCCAGGCCACAGGAGCACTTGTCGCACGCGGCGCTCCTTTGCTTCAACTCATCGCAAGAGGCAACGACTACGGGCTCAGCCCTCTCCACTGTATCAACGAGGCTGCCGTTGCACGCCTTGTCATAGCTGGCTTGGCAAGCAAGCACTGAGCACGTCCAGGCCGCTTTAGCGCATACGCTCAAACTCCTGCAACACGGCCCACTCAGGTTGCACGTGCATTGGTCGCAAGAGCTACCGCAGTCCTCCATACGCTGCGCAAAGTCGGCGGTGAGCGCTGCCGACTGGTCCGACTCGTCTCGACGCATGCGCTGCGTGGCAGGGGCGGCCATTCGTTTGCTCGTCTTTCTGCCAGTCCGCGCGCCCTTTCCCCGGCCTCCCTCTCAGTGTTCAACAGTGTGGACTGGCCCGAGGGACGTGGCACCGCAAGTTCGGCCGTTTTTTTAGCCCTATAAAAGCCATAAATAAATAAAAACGGACAGCTCTCTACTGTGAGGTGGGTAAAAAGGAACAGGTCCCCGCCCTTGCGATCTTTGTGCAGGGTTCTTTGTGGGTGTGGTCGGCGACTAGCCGGGGTCGTCCTCCCGATGGATGGGGGACTGACTAGCACTAGCCGTCTTCCACATGGTCCCTCGGGTCCCTGCCGCTCCTAACCTCTTCGTACATCCTCCTGCTGATCTCCGCAAAGTCCTGCTCCCTCCCTCGTCTCGCCCTGCACGTCTGCTCCGCCCTAGCTCCGCCTCACCGTCTTCTGCCCTGCGTCGTCTGGCGACGGGTCCTCCATAGTCGGTCGAGGTCGCCGCCCTCCTCGCGCCTCTTCCCAACGTTCCCTCGGCGGCTGATGCCGTCCGCTCCGGCTCCCCAGTCCCCGGGTCTGCCCTGCTCTCGTCTGCGCTAGTTCCTCCTGCTTCGTCACCACCCCGGCGTCTCTCCTCTTCCTTCTCCCCTTCTTGTATGCTTTGCACATCGCGTCGATTCCTTTTCTGTGAGGTGTAGTTTCTTTTTGGTTGGGGCGGCCCTCATGACGGGGTAGGTAGGGTAGGTCTGGGCCTCGGCCGGGGGGCGCGGGCGGGGGGGGGGTCTGGCCCTCACGATGACGCGGGGTCTCCGCGGTAGGGTGGGTCTGGGCCGAGGCAGAGGCCGGGGGGCGGGGGGGGGGGGGGTTTTTCCCGGCGGGCTGCGGACTTTCCCCATCTCACCATACGTGTGTACAACCTCAACCCTGTTCCTCACCTCCCCACCCGCCACGGGGGCGCCGCGGCCTTGGGAGGGGCGTCACGACCCCTCTGACTCCTCTGAACGCTGAAGTGGGAGTCCGGGGCACAACTCTTCCACCCCGAAAGAAATTTCCCAACCGCGAACAGCACAGTAAGACGCCCCCAACCACCCCTCGTTTGTGGGGCTGACCGAGCGACTTTGCGTCAAAACATTTGCCTCCCTGCGAGCGCGAGGACCGGGACGAGCACCACGGCGGACCAAATCAACCAAATCGCCCGCGCGGGGGGTGGGGCAACCTCCGCCACAAGCACGCCCTTTACCGGGGCTGGGGGTGGAGCCACCTTGGGCGGAGATGGCAAGCGGGCGTCCTCATTCGAGCGGTTGCTTAAGGCCCGCGGGGGCGCCTGGGCCAACCCACCCTTTGGG